TTTTATTAAATTTGCTGTTTTCATATTTGGAAGTTTCATTAACCCCTTCCCGCCGACGTCACACAAATATGCTGCCTCACAGAACTGGGATTTTTTCCATAAGGCAGCATATTTGCATACAAAGACCAGGGTGTCACTGAGAGCATCGGGTCCCGTTCTAACGATCAGGATGTGGGACTCCCGATTGCGGGTCACATGATCGCTGCGATAGCCTCTGATTGGCTATCACAGTGATCAGTAACTGAACAGCCCACCCCACTTTTTTTCTCTGTGAATGGAGGAGAGAAAATAAAGAAAAAATACCTAGATCAAGGTTTGATCTAGTTAAGTGCCTGGGTTTTTTATTTTTTTAAATTAGCATCAGTGTGTTTTAGGTAAAAAAAACAAAAACAAAATGCACACTATTGTTTCTGGGCCGTACTGTGGGTACAGACAACAAATAACATACACATATATGGTATTGCTGTGATCAGCAAGAGCTGGAAAATGTATTTTGGGTTGTTGTTTAGTGGTAGGTTATGGTAGTAACAAGAAACACACCGCTAAATTTAAAAAAAAAAAATTTTTTTTTACTATTTTGGACAAGTTTTCCTTTGATAATAACAAAAAAAAAAATCAGGAGATATCTATTACTATTTACCACCAAATGAAAGGCTAATTTGTCCTGAAAAAAAAACAAGGTATAATTGATATGGATGTACAAAGTAGTTGTGATAATATGTACCATTTTACTAACACATGTCAAAGATTGAGATTAGGCATTAGGGTTTGTTTTACCCTGAGGCATGAAGGGGTTAAGAATAAAATAAAATCCTTTCATTACTTTCTGAATACAAGTAATATAGTTTTTGTACATTTTGTAGCAAAATATGGTTTAAGCAAAACACGAGGAAAATAACTAAATACTGTATAATGCTGATATATAATGTGTATTATATATTATAGTGTGAGGCCCTGTCACTATGAAAATGGTTGTTAAAAGGTCAGAATTCACATGTATGCAGAATGGGGATCTCCAGTATTTCAATTATGACTGGGGAAAATTGTTCTTACAGCTTTCTCCAGATTTTGGTATTCCCAGATTGGGCTCCATAGTTTGGAGATTTTGGGAGGGAAGAAATCTCCAACCCTGTGTCCAGTTGTTGCTAAAGACCATCAGGGTGTGTGTCCATATGCTCACAGCCCTTATAATGATAGGCTTGGGCATAGTTCAGAGCTTCAGTTAGGAAACAGTTGTGCTTCACCCAGTAGACAGGTCTGCTTTGTAGAGGGGACAGGTGTGTTCCACCCAAAAGCCAGGAGGTCTCGGGCTAGAAAACTGGAGGTCTTCAGACAGGCCAGGGCGTGTGCCCATTCAGTAGGGTGCTACAACTAAAGACAGAGAGCCAGGAGAACTCAGGGAGCCAGGAGAGCTGGGTGAGACAGTCTGAGGGACCAATTAAAAGCCAAAGGCCAAAGTTTGTGCCCTGAGGAGTGGCACTGCTGAAGACAGGGACAGGTGGTTAGGTATTATTTTGACTGTTTGTTTTGATGGTGAAGATTCCTGCATGGTAAACACTCATGGGAAGGACTTTGCTTTATTTTTAAATAAAAGTAGGATAGCAAGCCCTAAAACCACAGTTTACACCAACTGAATACATTGCCTAAACTCTACTGCTGAAGACTTGAGTCCAACGAGTTGGAGACTTATCTATCTACATTCACAGTTTAGACTCGCTTGACTCACTGGAAATGCTACCATCACTGAGCTAAACAAATATATATATATATATATATATATATATATATATATATATATATATACACACTATGTATATACTGTATATAGTTTTTTTTCTCATCTTCTACAGTTTATAGGTCTGTCCAGCCAGTCTTGTGATTGACATACTTATCTGCTACTGAGCTCTACTTTCCTGCTTATTGGAAATGAATGGTTATGCTGCATCACTTTCCATTTGCAACATACAAAGCTATGGAGCTCCATTAGGAAGTAGAGATATACGTTTCTGTATTTTAACTAAAAACGTAGCTGTTTGCCTGGAGTTCCACCTTACAGTTAATTTGTAACATGAATGACTTTTTGCTTTGCTCTAAAGAATTTAAAAAGGACACTGTTCCTCTTTGTCTGCCAGGAGACCTTTAATAAACTGTGGTATGTGTTGTAGTATCTATTAGGCCAGCTTCCTATAGACTTCACAGCAAGAGGGACACTAGTTACAAAGAAAGTTGCCTGGGGCTCAGCATACAGCACTTCTGTTTTTTTCGTATAAAGTGTGTTTGGTGGCATTTCCTAAGCCTCAGAAGTTCTCTCTTGTTATGAAATAAGCAGGAAGCCAGAGACAGCATAGTTCATGGCATTCATGCTATATTAAAAGCTCTGTCTACCAAGTCAATGGCTACAATCCAGTTAAACATGAAAATGTTAAAACTGACAACAGGAACAGCAGCCTGCCTGCCAAGTTATGTAAACACTGCCATTCGATTTGTGCAGCTGGCTGCCCCATTAGTTGAATTCCAAAGGCTGCAGGTATTCTTAAATGTCTGTTGGGAAAATGCAACTGGCCAAAAAAGGTATCCCTGAAAAAGAAGCGAGTAACAACTGTAACAGAACAGGTAATCAGTCAAATGATCAGACAAAGAGTAACTATAACCTGCAGTTCACTAAACAAATAAAATGAATATACAAGCAGTAATGCATAACATTCCGAATGGCAAAGATCATGCATACACTGCAGAATAATACAAAAACGTTTATCAAAGCTGCATAAACAATGACTTTTCACAGTAATGTATCTGTGTCTCAGTCAGGGTAATGTGGTTGTATAGTATAGTCTATATAAGATTCTGTTACAACTGAGAGTCAAGCTGTGAATCACTACTTCAGGAAAACAGCCCAGAACACAAACCGCTACTTGTGATTATTCTCAAAAACAGTTTAGGGAAGTTCTGGTACCACAGGTGAACAGCTAAAAGGATCCAAGGTCAGGGGACACAGCAGTGGGGGCCACCCAACTGGAAACAGGCTACTCTGTTAGCAATCAGCCCCCCCCCCCCCCCCCACAGTAGCTACATCTTTTAGAGGTACTGCATGCATTTGGGCTCTGACTTGGCTCTCTGCACACAGGCATTTACAGTGAAATGCCTCTCCCCTGGCTGAAGATCACTTTCTTATCTACCTCGGCCACATCAGGTGTGACCTTCCAGAGATTCTAAGGGAGAAGGGCTGAGGAACCTATCTTCCCTGGGTATGTCCAGAAACCCAGGGAGTTGTAGGAAAGGGGCCCACACTTACATCAGAACACCTTGAGTAAATGGGCACTCTGCTACACAACATACCTCTCCTGCTACATTGAAGAAAAATGTTATTCTGTTCAGAAAGTGACACTTGAAGAAATGTCAACCTCCTAGCCCACAACTGCACTCAATGGTTTCTTTCATAATCTCTACATCACCACTCCAATTCACTCCAGTAGGGGAAAATGAGGAGAAATTTTCTAATAGAGACAGCTGTTCTAAGGACAATTGTCTACTGCTGGCTTCACAATTATGCATTGTAGTTACCAGCTTGTTACATATGTTTGCGTTGCAGAGCCATTAATTTTCAATGGTACAACATACTACAGCTTGCTATCATGCACCTGCATTACAGTGCACGGTAGCATAGTGTCATTCATTGTGGTGCACTGCATCAAAAAAAATAAAAAAAATTTAAAAAAAGGTGCCTGGAGCACATTCAAATGAATGGCCTGTCTTAACATAATTTAAATTAATAACTGTGCATTAAGACAGCACATCAGTGAAAACATTGTAAAGAAAGTTTTAGAGGGGATATTTTGTCACTGTATAGAGATTGCTTTCCTCCTGTATCTCTGGGAGAGGAGGTGAAGGATCATCTCCTACTAGAAACACATACTAAAAACAATGGAACCTAACAGGGTTCTTCTTCTTCTTATTATTATTACATCGAGTTTATATAGCGCCAAAGGGTTTGCTCAGCGCTGTACAATAGAGGGGGGGACAATACATGAAACAGTACAGCAACAACAAACAGTACACGAGGGGTTAGAGGGCCCTACTCTTTCGAGCTTACAATCTAGAAGGGAGGGGGTAGTGGGGGATGGAGTGGTAGGAGGAATGAAGGAGAACGGCTGTTAGGTGAGGGTGGGGTAGGCTTCCCTGAAGAGGTGGGTTTTCAGGGAGCACCTGAAGGTGAGAAGGGAAGGTGACAGTCTGATGGATTGGGGTAGTGAGTTCCAGAGGATGGGGGAGGACCTGGGGAAGTCTTGCAGTCGTGCGTGGGAGGAGGAGACCAGGGAGCAAGATAGAAGGAGGTCCTGTGAAGAGCGAAGGGTACGGGTAGGGTGGTACCTGGGAATCAGGTTGGTGAGGTAGTTAGGGGCAGTGTTATGAATGGCTTTGTAGGTCAGAGTGAGTAGTTTGAATTTGATGCATTGGGCAATAGGGAGCCAGTGGAGGGATAGGCAGAGGGGGGTGGCAGAGGTGGAGCGGCTGGTGAGGTGGATGAGTCTGGCTGTTCAATACTCTATCCAAACAAAGTTTCGGCTTTTACACACACTTTAACCACTTGCCCTATTGAGGATTTACCCCCCTTCCTGACCAGGCCATTTTTTGCATTAAGGCGCTTGCATGGTCATGCACCGCTGCACCCAAATCAAATTTACGTCCTTTTTTTCCCCATGAATTTAGCTTTCTTTTGGTGGTATTTGATCGCCTGCGCGTTTTTTATTTTTCATGCTATAAAAAAAAAACGACAATTTTGAGAAAAAAACATTTTTGACTTTTTGCTACTAACGATGTCCAGAAAAAAATAAAAAAAATCTAATTTCATCATAAATTTAGGCCAAAATGTATTCTGCTACATGACTTTGCTAAAAATAAATCCCAATACGTGGAAATTAATTGGTTTACGTGAAAGTTATTGCATTTACAAATGGCGTATATATTGGAAATTTTTTTTTTTTTACTGGTAATGGCGGCGATCAGCAACTTATAGTGGCACTGCAGCGGGCATTATGACACTGGGGGGAACTGACTTTGTGTCTCTGACATCCCCAGTGACACCAATACAGTGATCAGTGCTAAAAAAAAAAAGCACTGACACTGTACTAATGGCACTGGACAGGAAGGGGTTAACGTGAGGGACAATCAAAGGGTTAACTGTGTGCTGGGAGTGTTTTACTGGAGGGTGATGTGTTGGTGCTTCACTGTAAGCACACTACTCTGGATGGCTGTGTTGTGCAAAGCCATCCAGAGCAGTGTGCCTAAGCCAACAGGGAGGAGAACTGTTAGTAAACAAAGCAGCCCTCCTCCCCATCGGAGATCCTCGGTAATCACCGGGCACCGGCCCGGTGATTGACAGCTGCGGCTCACACGCGCTCTCTACCCAGAAACAAAAAATCACGTATGTGATTTTGTGCACCCCTGCCGCCCTGTAGCGATATATCTGCTATAAGGCGGTCAGGAATATGGTTAAGAAAGCTTCTGCACTATCACAACAGCTGCAACTCTCAAAGTTTTAAAACCCTTTGTTTCTACATTCAATCTGAAACTGTATATATTTACAGAAGCAGAAACATTTACTCAATACACATGCATATCTATAGGGATGAAGGGGTTTATTTACTAAAGCTGGTGCACTCAGAATCTGGTACAGCTGTACATGGAAGCCAATCAGCTTTTAACCTCAGCTTGTTCAATGAAGCTTTAGCAATAAAACCTGAAACCTGATTGGTTTTCATGCACAAGATTCTGAGTGAACCAGCTTTAGTAAACAAACCTCTCTAAACCAGTGATCACATACCCAATAATATGAATGGAAAGAAAGAAAAACAAACACCAGACTTATGCTCAACCTAAATAAATCAAATATTTTATGTATCTCTTAAAAAAGTAAGAGACCCAGCAAATTGCTCAACACTCATGAAATGCAAAGTGAAAACTCTTTATTGAAAAACCTAGACTATACAAAATCCTGCTGTCTAATAAATAAGCAATGCTGGTTTTATATATTAAATAGTAGGTTTTTGTATAGTTTAGGTTTTTCAATAAAGAGTTTTCACTTTGTATTTCATGAGTGTTAAGCGATTTGTTGGGTCTCTTACTTTTTTCAGGGATACATAATAGATTCGATATATTGAGGTTGAGCTCAAGTCTGGTTTTTATGATTTTCTTCTATGTACTGTATATGCATACCAACAATTCCCTTGTGTTACACAATATATTATAGTTGTTTTTTTTTATCCTTCTTAAATAGGGTCTTGAAGACACATATTATGTATACTTTTGATTCAATAATATGAATGGAAAAACTTTTTTAGCAAATGATTGATTGAAGCAGCTTCACTATATTTACTAAGCTCAATAAACATTAACTTTGCTAAGTGAACAGACTCTACTCCTTTAGTAAATCAACCAGCATGATCCTGTTGATTCACCTGAAATCAGTGAGCTCCCTTTAATGCCAGCATATTATTGCAAGCTTTGTTAACAGTAATTGCAATGAGCCTGCAAAAACTCCCAATAGTGGTTAATTTACATTTCTTTTATTTAAAGGAGAAGTTCACCTTTCACATGTTAGATGTTCAGGGTGAAACATGTAATGAACACACTGGCCCCTACATCCCCATGATTCCCATTGTGACAGCTAGCAGATACAGTGACAGGTCAGAGGGAGACCTGCATAGCACCAGCAATCTGGTGACATGCTTTAGACGCTCAGGAAACAAAATATACTAAATGCCTACAAAAAAGTGCATTCTTTATTTTTTGTTAAAAGGTGAACTTATTCTTTAAGGCAATAACAAATTATGTGGGATAAAGCTTGAAAAATTGCTTACCTATCACAAATTTATAGAATAAACACTGCAATAATAACTCAGAATATGTTTTTACTGAAACTATAGTGCACTTTGGCTTATATTAAATTGCAATGTGATGCATAAAAACTAAGTAAAGAGTCCAGCACATAAACCCCTTACAGCAAATCCTTTTTTAACCCCTTGCCGCCTCTCCTTTAAGAGGATCTTAAAGCAATCCTTCCAATCATGTGAATGCTGGATTGGCTGTCAAAGCAGTCCATGATTGGAAGATACTGATAATAAACAATGACTTAGAGATGACAGCTTAGTCACTGTGCTGGGAGCATGCAGTGAGTGCTCTATCAGCACAGAAAGCTGCTTCACATGGAGACATATGTGCGGAGGCTTGGAATTAAAACTCACCCATCCAACCATCACATCACATGTGAACAGCCAGCAGAAACAGGTTAAAAAAAAAGCAGAACAGGTTAAAAAAAATGCCCAAAAATTTGAATCTCCGTCTTTAGCTATGGTCAAGTAACTGACAATACCTGCATCTTTCTCTCGAGAAGGGGGGCAGTGTCTACTGATATATCTCCTTGCTATCATGCTGTAACCCTGGAGGTGGTGACAGCGCTATCTCTTTGGCTGACAACACCACTAAGGTTGAGGATACAGGCATGATGATGTCACTGATCTATGGAACTAGAAGAGACAGCTAGGGGGGCTGACAACCATGACCACAGATACAGCAGCTGAGAGTTATGGTTGATGGCCCTCTACAGGAAATTAGGGCTCCATGCCTACACTGGGAGAATAAATATGTTAGTAATCAGAAAGAAAGATAAAAATACACATGATGTTAACATAGTTAAGACAGTGAAAAAAAGTTGAATATGCGCAATGTTTTTCATTTTCAGTGGGGTTCAACTTTAACTGCTTTCCCGCCACCATATAGCAGAACTACTGCTACAGGGCAGCAGGGCTGTGCAAAATCATGTATATATACATGATTTACATTTCTGGGTAGGGAGCGCATGCACTGCCTTACCTGCTAGGCATGTTAATCACCAGGTCCCGGCCAGAGATTCATCACCGTGCAAAGCTGACAGGGGAGAGACCTGTGTGTAAACACCACAGGTCTCTCTCCTGCCAGCAAGGACATGCTGTTTTGTATTTCTCTGCACATCAGAGAAATACAAAACAGCATGTCTTCAAGGTAAAACAGCACACAGCAAAACACACACAGCACACAGTTAACCCTTTGATCGCCCACAAGTTAACCCCTTCCTGCCCAGTGTCATTAGTACAGTGTCAGTGCTTTTCATTAGCACTGACCACTGTATTAGTGTCACTGGGGATGTCAGTGGCAGTTAGTCAGTTCCCACCCAGTGTCAATCCCGCTATAAGTGCTGATCGCCGTCATTACTAGTATAAAAAAAAATAAAAATGCCAGTATATATACACCTCCATTTGTAGATGCTATAACTTTCACGTAAACCAATTAATTTACACGTATTGGGATTTTTGTTTTAGCAAAGACATGTAGAAGAATACATTTTGGCTTACATTTATGATGAAATTTGATTTTTGAAATTTTTTTATTGGACATGTTTAATAGCAAAAAATCTAAAATATTGTTTTTTTTTCTATTTGTGAAAAAAAGGACATACATTTAATTTATGTACAGCCTTGCAATTGTCAGTTAAAGTAACAGAGCCGTATTGCAAAAAATGGCCTGGTCAGGAAGGGGGGGTTAAAACTTCTGGGGGGCAAGTGGTTATAGACATTGACCCACTTTCTATACACATTTTGATCCTGCTTTGTTTTAAATGTTTGTAATTATTCTATTTTGACTCTCATGGGAGACGATATAAGTAGCACACTATCCAGTCTAAGGTCTTTCTACTAATTAAGATGTGCAATGCCTTGTTCTCTTAAATTGCCCATTCATCTCTATCTTTCGGTTTGTCTAGCTTGTACCTGCAGAGAAGTGTAAACAGTATATTAAGGTATTGGATAGGAGACAATGATTCATCCTTGGTTGGTTTATATGGATATTCAATTTTCTTTATCTAAGTGCGCTCAGCAGAATGTAACATACACAATACTGACCTGGGGGAATCTTGGCAATTTAATTTAGTGCACCATTCTTAATAATACAACATCTGTTATACTTCCATGTCGGAGCTAATTTTAACCATAGCGTGTTTCTTATCACTATTATAGCCCTTATATTCTAAATGACCAGGTAATGCTTATTTAGTAGTGTAAACAGCAAGTGAGACATAATGGCTATATCAAAACTGCTTGAAGCATAAGGGATAATGAGATCTATTTGCTAAGCAGTTCTCTGCCGTGCATATTTTCAAATACAATATGAATCTCCCTAAAAAGAAAGGATTGGATGTTCTGTATTTATATGTATAGAATACATTGAATATCTCTTCTTAGTGCCTTTAGGTCAATTATGCCCTGATATGACACCAAATTTAAACACATTTAGAGAACTGGCTCTGAACACATTTCTGTATTTTTAATAAGATTTTTTATACTTATTTAAGTGAAAGTAACATTCAACAAATCAATCTGACATGGCAGTAATGGTCCCCGTTTCATGTCAGGCTTGTTCCATATGTATTTTGTGATATGGTTTATTTTACTGATACAATGAGTAAAATGTATGTTTGATGTATAATGCTTCAATAGTAAAGTAGCAGAACTGATAAGATTCAAAAAGTCTATTTAGCAAATTGCAAGCTCCCTAAAAACAGTAAATTATATTTATTTTATGTTTTAGAATAATTACTGTCAACTTCCCATTGGAAAAAAAAAAATACAGACTCTGGTTGCCTGCATTGTCAGGGGTACATCATTTCTCCCTTTTGATGAAAATTGATTGATGTCTCTTCTAACCTGCTGCCAAACTTATATATAAATAATATGGCATCATCTTGCAATTAGTGTGATATTTAAATGCGGATAATCTATTAGTGCTGGTTCACAGTGCTGTGATTTCTGATGTGACTTGAGTCACACAGAATTGTACAACATGGGAAATCACATTATTTTCAATGGTGCCTGTTCACATCAATGAAACTCTGTGCGGTGCAATTTGGAAAAGGTTCCTGTGCTACTTTGGTGCAATTTCACTGTGATTTGGCTCCATAGAATATGCTAACCACTTCAGAATTTGCATCAAAGTCGTGCTGAAAATCACATAAACAGTGCATCACATTATTGTTAACCCAGCTTTATAATAAATATCTTCATACTTAATGCCTTCATGATGGAGGTAAAACAAATCCTAATGCCTGAAAACAGTTTTGCCATGTATTGGTAAAACTGTTCATATCATTACAAATACTTTGTGTATTCAGATTATTTGTAATTTTTTTAAATGTTTTTTATTATTTATTTTTTTTTTTTTTTTTCAGGACAAATTGGGCTTTTTTAATTCTTAAAGAAAACATAAAATAGCAAAAACATTTTTTTAATTCATTATTTAACTGTATATCTCTTGCTATTACCATAACCTACCACCAAAGAACAACCCAAAATAAATGTTTCTGCTTCTGATGATCACATATGTCTATGCTACTGTATTTGTTGTTTGCAACCGTAATAGGATTCAGAAGCAATAGTGAACGTTTTGTTTTTTTGTCCTACCTAAAACACACTGATTCTGACACTGACTGACAATGATACTAAATTAAAAATGCTTTTTTTTTAAAAAAAATCCTACTTAAAATACACTGACCATGACCTTTTAACCTCACCATGACCTTTGTCCCTAAACTTGATCCTAACCCTGATCTAGCTTTTTGTTTTCTTTTTTCTTCTTCTTGTTTTTATTTGTTTTATTTTTTTACACACAAACTTGTTTTTGTTTACAATGTTCTTCTCTAGCAAGGGGATTAAGATACAACATATCTTTTTTTCCATCCAAGAGGAAAAAAACACTGAGGAGGGCTGTGCAGTGACGGATAACTCTGAAAGCCAATCAGAGGTTATCACAGTGATCAGGTGATTGTGACCTGGGACTCCCAGTTCCTGACAGTTAGTATAGGTCCCAGGGCTCTCAGTGAAAGCCCAGTCCCTGTGCTGGGAGCATGCTGCACAGCGTGCTCCTAGCACAAACACAGATACGCATATATGCAGCTCCACAAATAAAGACCCACTTCTGTCAGCAGGAAGGGGTTAAAGCTGAATTACAACCACTTGCCTACAGGGCACTTGTACCCCCCTTCGTGCCCAGGCCAATTTTCAGCGCTGTCACACTCTGAATGACAATTGCGCGGTCATTTAGATCTGTACCCATATAACATTTTTATCATTTTTGCCACAAATAGAGCTTTCTTTTGGTGGTATTTAATCATTACTGGGTGTTTTATTTTTTTTGCACTATAAACAAAAAAATTGCAAAAAATTTGAAAAAAGCGCTTTTGTTTCTATGATAACATTTTCCAAACAAGTAATTTTTCTCCTTCACTGATGTGCATTGATGAGGCTTCACTGATAGGTAGCACTGATGAGGTGGCATGGATAGGCAGTACTAATGGGCACTGATAGGCGGCACTGATGATGCTGCACTGATGGACACTGATGGGCAGCACTGACGGCACTGCTGGGCACAGGTTGGTGGTACGGCTAGGCATTGCTGGGCACAGGTGGGTGGCACTGCTGGGCACAGATCATCAGTGCCGATCACTTCTCTGACAATTGCCAGTTATCGCAGTACTTTCCTCATGCTGTGGCAACTGTATTTACCATGTCCATGGGCATCCTCCCAAAACTAGACAACCGTGCTGTAGCCATCTTTTGGCTATAGCGCAGTAGGGAAGAGGTTAATAGTTACATTGGGCCAACTTGGACCAATTTATGAGGGCAGCTACTTTGCATTGAACCCAAAAGCCAATGGCAATCACTGTAGTAGCGGGGCCTACTACAGTGATTTCCAGCTTCAATGGGGATTGGCCAGGTATGGCACATGCACAGTTACAGTGGTCCAACAAGGACTAATATGACTATGCATAAATATCCGTACCTGGATTTCAGCTTTAAATACCACAGCTGTTGTAACCACATTAAAATACAGCCAAGGTTGAATTTACTGTTATGCACATTTTCACGATTTTATCTTTTTCAGAATCATAATTAGTAACACAGAGATATTATAAAAGATTATTTATACACTGTTACAAAATACTAAGCCAGATATGAACCAGCAAAACAAGAATGAGATCTGTGCAATAGAAGTCATCCTAACAGATGGCAGCTGATTTAGACACCAGGAGTTTTCTGGCTGTAGCAGAGTTCGCTGTGCCCAGATGTAAGTGTACCAGTTCAGAAGGGACTGGCCAAATTTAGATTCTTTGTGGGTTTTTCCTGCTAGACAGAAGCAGATCGTTAGATCATCTTCTGTTGAACAAGACTACTGCAAAACCGAATTTAATCAGGGGTTTGCAGCCAATTGGCTGCAGCCCTCATTGGTGTATTAGGACAGAATACAACATCCCAGCAGGGGGATTCATGCATCCACATCACTTGTAAGGATGCAGGAATAGTTTTGTTTTCATTCAGCCTTTTCATTAAGCCTAAAGAGTCCATGTATGTGCAACTTTCATTATTCTGTAGTATACTGTGTGTGTAGCCAGTGCTGGCTATATCATTATGCCATTCAGGGACACTTACAGATGAGACTATGGTTAATCCTTTTTGCTCTTCGTGCCCAGTACTGGGACTGCTACATCACTTCCTGTTAGAGTGGATCCAGTTCTTCTGACAGCAGATGATCCTGGGACCTGTAGTCCTATAGCTATTATTTACTGTATTTATGAGTGCAGATTGAACGGCAACTACCAGAGAGTAGGCGAACCAGAAGGTTGCAGAGAGAGCAGATATATTTTATACAGCAAGGAACTGGCTGGGCTCTTGGTGCAGCATTCCGAGCTGAACACAGGGGACTGATGTTCTCCTCCAGAGACAGATTGCTGGCTACTACTGTGAGACTCTGCATACCAGTTCAGCACAGTGGTAATACAGATCACCACATCAGGATCAGATCAGCTTCTCTGCATTGGGACTGTCAGTGTCCAGTCTTCATCCAGTCACCTCTGCTTGCCATGCTGGCAGGTGGTAACTCTGCACTCCTCTGTGAACAGCCAAGAGCCTATGCAAGAACCCTGCTCCTAGGAGGCCATGCTTCCCATGGGATTGGTGAGCGGTCGGATGCCCAACATATTTCTGAGAACACTAAAGACACTGCATGCACACACCTTTACACTTCAGTACCAATAGGTCTTTGTTTGGAGCATTTACCACAGCCTGTTATCTTCATTGAATTACCATTACTCTCCACTATATATGGGCCCCACCATTGCTAGCAGAAGACAACTATCACATCAGGAAACTTTAAACATCTCAGGACTCAAGTTATTTCTAGTTAAAAGGGACCTCTTCGCATCTAAGCCATTGTCAAATTAGGGTGTCTATACCCATTTACGTAGAGTAGGAGTATATATATATATATATATATATATATATATATATATATATATATATATACATAAACAGTATATTTACATAATTCTTTGCACATTCCCTATTGTAACACCAGTGGCCCAGAGGGAGCTGATAAGTCACAAGCCTTTTCCTCCCCCTCCTGCTGCTGCTTTTGCAGTTACAAAGTTACAACATACCATACCACTGTATAATTTGTTAACTGTTGCTATTTGGTTATTTCCATTTTGTCAGTATTTTGCTTTTATGAGTTAATTGGGGATGCATCTCCTAAACCTTCATTCTGTGGTCTACTTTTTTAAACAAAACTAATATAGAGGTGTTGCTAAAACATTGTGTATCTTGCATTATTATTTCATACTGTTCAAATATGTCTGAACCCAGGGTGTCAGGAGGGTTGCAAGGTTAGGGCAACCACTGGGGACAAGCTTTATCAAGCGGCCCCTGTGGGGGGTAGCACTACATTTGGGTGGGTTTTTTTTGCCATCCTGAACCTGTTTTGTGTTGTTACGTTTGCATCAGTTTACTAAACTGCAAGTTACAGTTACTCTCTTCAATGATGGAAATCGTACCGTGTGTAAGAATATAAAAAGCTCCAACTTCCTAAAAAAAACTCAAATTTCTGATTATTTATTACAGGTACTTATATAGTGCCATCAATTTGCACAGATATATAAATATATATATATATATATATATATATATATACACATATATACACATACACACACACATATATACATACACACAAACAGTGCCTTGAAAAAGTGTTCATACCCTTTGAAATTTTCCACATTGTGTCATGTTACAAACAAAAACGTAAAATGTATTTTATTGGGATTTTATGTGATAGACCAACACAAAGTGGCACATAACTGTGAAGTGGAAGGAAAATGATAAATGGTTTTCAACATTTGTTTACAAATAAATATCTGAAAAGTGTGGCGTGCATTTGTATTCAGCCCCCCTGAGTCAATACTTTGTAGAACTACCTTTTGCTTCAATTACAGCTGCAAGTTTTTTTGGGTATGTCTCCAGCAGCTTTGCACATCTAGAGAGTGACATTTTGCCCATTCTTTGCAAAATAGCTCAAACTCTGTGAGATTGGATGGATAGCGTCTGTGAACAACAATTGTCAAGTCTTGCCACAGATTCTCAATTGGATTTAGGACTGGACTTTGACTGGGCTATTCTAACACATGAATACGCTTTGATCTATACCATTCCATTGTAGCTCTGGCTGTATGTTTAGGGTCGTTGTCCTGCTGGAAAGTGAACCTCTGCCCCACTCTCAAGTCTTATGCAGACTCTAACAGGTTTTCTTCTAAGATTGCCCTGTATTTGCCCCATCCATCTTCCCATCAACTCTGACCAGCTTACCTGTCCCTGCTGAAGAAAAGCAATCCACACAACATGATGCTGCCACCACCATGTCTCACGGTGGGGATGGTGTGTTCAGGTTGATGTGCAGTGTTATTTTGTTCGCCACACACAGAGTTTTGCTTTTCGGCCAAAAAGTAAAATTTTGGTCTTATCTGACTAGAGCACCTTCTTCCATATGTTTGCTGTGTCTCCCACATGGCTTCTCGCAAACTGCAAATGGCACTTCTTATAGCTTTCTTTCAACAATGGCTTTCTTCTTGACACTCTTTTACAAGGGCCAGATTTGTGGAGTGCACGACTAATAGTTGTCCTATGGACAGATACTGTGGATCTCTGCAGCTCCTCCAGAGTTACCATGGGCCTCTTGGTTGCTTCTCTGATTAATGCTCTCCTTACCCAGCCTGTCAGTTTAGGTGGACAGCCATCTCTTGGTAGGTTTGCAGTTGTGCCATACTCTTTCCATTTTCAGATGATGGATTGAACAGTGCTCTGTGAGATTTTCAAAGCTTGGGATTTTTATTTTTAACCTAACCCTGCTTTAAATGTCTCCGCAACTTTATCCCTGACCTGTCTGGAGTGTTCCTTGGCCTTCATGATGCTGTTTGTTCACTAATGTTCTCTAACAAATCTCTGAGGGCTTCACAGAACAGCTGTATTTATATTGAGATTAACACACACACAGGTGGACTATTTACTCATTAGGTGACTTTTGAAGGGAATTGGTTCCATTAGATTTTAGTTAGGGGAATCAGAGTAAAGGGGGCTGAATACAAATGCACACCACACTTTTCAGATATTTGTAAAAAAAAGTTTGAAAACCATTTATCATTTTCCTTCCACTTCACAACTATGTGCCACTTTGTGCTGGTCTATCACATAAAATCCCAATGAAATACATTTATGTTTTTGGTTGTAACATGACAAAATGTGGAAAATTTCAAGGGGTGCGAGTACTTATTCAAGGCACTGCGTGTGTATATGTGTGTGTGTGTGTATATATATATATAAAATACGTTCATCAGTCCCCAACCCTCAAGGAGTATACAGTCTAAGATCTCTAACTCACATTCATACATACACATACAAGGGCCAATTTAGACAGGCATCAGTTAACCTACCACCATGTCTTTGGAGTGTAGGAGGAAATTGGAGTACCCGGAGGAAACCCACACAGGTAGAGCATGCAAACTCCAGGCAGGCGGTGCCATGGTTGAGATTCAAATCAACAATCGCAGTGCTGCCAGGTAGAAGTGCTAACCATTTAGCCACTGTGCAAAAAGCCTAGTACCAGAGAACACTTAGCCAAATGCTGATTTAGCCTCTCTCTTTGTCCTGGTAATCATTGCCTGCTATAAAAAAAGTGATGGATGTTCCCCTCGCTATGTAAAAATTCAATTTCCCTTTCTGTTGCCTCTCCAAGACAGAAAGTGAAGAGAAATGTCCTCAAAGGGACAAACAAAGCAATGAATAAACTGACAATTACTTTACTGTTTCTTTATAATTAGTTCATGGCTTCAGTGATGGCAAACCAGGAGACACTCTGGAATTATTATAGTATCTAGGCCATGGTTTCTAACCCAGGGATCCATCACTGGTCACTGTTGTAGCAGATTCATATCTACTCAACGTTAGTTTAAATGTCCCCCCTGCAGACTACTGAGTCAGTGGATTTTTGTCCACCC